TACTCTTTTTACTGTAAATAAAAAAAAAAGTTATTGCAATCTCGAGACATTTCGATATTATTTTATAAAATGAAATTTATTTAATGAAACTTTCCTTCTTATCAAAACTGACTGACAACGAATAGACTGATTAACAAATAATAATAATAATAATAATAATAATAATAATAATAATAATAATAATAATAAAGAAAAAAAGAAAATGAAAATGTTAAAAAGGTTTCTTGAAAGAAGGAGGAAGAGAACAGGATCAAATAAAGGACGAGAAACAATAAATACACAGACACAAAAAAAAAGAAAGAAGGAAAAAAAAACAAAAATAAGAGACAGCAGATTTAGTAGATCTTCATTGGGTTGCACAGTATCCCCCTTACCTCTCTACCCCCTTACAATCATCTCCAATTCTCGATAATTCGTTGGGGTCTCGAATAGAATGGAAATATTGTAACTTGTTGCTAGACAAGGGTTAATATAATATTAAAAAAGGATCGAGAACAATTCGATGGAATTTTTTCATATTTTTTTTTTTTTTTATTATTTTTAGAAAAACAAAAAACAGGAAAAATTAGAGCTTTGACATATTTATAAGAAAATCAGTAATATGAAATATTTATTTTGTTATATACAGTAAAGAGCATAACTGAACCAATAAAACCACTAGTTTTGTATAAATCATTATTTATTGCTAAGAATGTAAAAGAATATTACAAAATGAACATTATAGCAAGTTTAATTTCAGTTAGAAGTAACATCAGAAATTTTTTCAATAATTAATGTCTCCTTGTTTAGCACTGATATCATACTTAAGATGAAATGTGAGATTGTTTGTAGGGGTTAGTGAGGGGGATGGTTGGAAAAGAAGGTAAAACTTGAACTCCTTAACTCCTTTTAAAATTTGGAAGGATTTCTATTGAAGTATATCCTATTTCATTTACAAGGATGGTACTTCATTTAAGAACAAGCTACAATAGTTTCTATTCTGCTATTAAACTAGATAAGGGTTTAGTTTGCTATTTTAATAAGAGATGTATGAAGGTTCTAGTTTGATATTAAACTAAATAAGGGTTAACATTAAAAAAGGATTGAGATTAATTCAATGCAATCTTTTCATATTTCTTTATTATTTCTAAAGAAAAAAAAAAGAAAGAAATTAGCTTTTACAAATTCATTGAAAAATCAATAATAAAACCATGCCTAAAATCAGATGTAAGATAGTTTATTAAGGATAGTGGGAAGAGTGAATGAGAAAGAGGTTAAAACTTGTACTCCTTTTAAAATTCTGAAGGATACAAAAATACATAGATAAAATACTAGAAATATATAGATGAAAGGATAGATAGATAGATATAATATAAAAGGAAGAGTGAACTAAACGTTTTTTTACATTCTCATTGAATCTACAAGGATTGTACTTCATTGAAGAACATTTTACAATATTTGTTGTTTAGTTGAATAACAGTCAATTTAAAAAAAAAGGCTTCAGAACACATCAATGTAATCTTTTCATATTTCTTTATTATTTCTAGAAAAAAAAAAAGAAAGAAATTAGCTATTACATACTTATTGAAAAATTAATAATAAAACCATCCTTAAGATGATACGTGATTTGGTTTGTGGTTGATAGTAGGGGTTGGTATAGAGGATCAAACTTGAACTTCTTTTTAAAATTGTAAATAGAAGTAAGGATAGAAATATATAGATAAAAGTATAGATACATAGATGTAATAAGAAAAGGAGTTCCACATTCCTATTGCATCTACAAGGATGGTGCTTAGTCAAAGAAGAAGTGGTTTAACAGCAAATATTGTAACTTGTTGCTAAACGAAGATCAATATTAAGATAGGATGGTCAAGATCAATTCAATAAAATCTTTACATATTTATTGAAAACTCTAAAGTATATATTTATTGGAAAATCAATCAAAATCAATCAAAATCAATCAAAATCAATAACCTAAAATCAGACTTAAGGTACTTTGGTGGGAATAATTAGTAGGATTGTGGGAAAAAGAATAAAACTTGTACTCCTATTAAAATTGTGAATAGAAATAAAGTTAGAAATATATAGATAAAAGTATAGATCGATAGATAAATGTAATAAAAAAGAAGGAGTATACTAAACGTATTTCCACATTCCTATAGCATCTACAAGGATGGTACTTAGTTGAAGAACAAGTTACAATCTTTCCTGTTAAACTAAATAAAAATCAATATCAAAAAAGGATCAAGATCAATTCAATAATATCTTTACATATTTATGGAAAATCTTGGAGTACACATACATTGAAAAATCAATAATAAAATCAATAATAAAATCATACCTAAAATGAGATGTGAACTAGTTTGTGGGGGGTTGAAAAGAGGTTAAACCTTGTACTCCTTATAAAATTGTGAAAGATAGAAATATGTAGAAGTATAGATAGATAGATAGATAGATAGATAGATAGATAGATAGATAGATAGATAGATAGATAGTTAGATAGATAGATGTAATATAAAAGAAAGAGTATAGTAAACGTTTTTCCACATTCCAATTGCATCTACAAGGATGGCGCTTCGTCGAATAAGAAGAGGCTTAGCAGCTTGTAAGCCGGTACTCACCACCACCACCACCACCACCACTATCACCACAACTTGGGTACCTTCGATCGGCACTTAACTTGTTTAGGAATTCGTCTTTTTTACCTTTCGAACGTCGGTGAAAGAAAACGACGTTCGTACGTTAAACTTAGAGAGAATAAGAAAAAGAAATAGAAAGAAAGGGATAGATAGATAGATGAAAGAAAGAAAGAAAGAAAGAAAGAAGATAAAAAAGAAGAAAAAGAAGATGAGAAAGAGAAAGAGAGAAAGAGAGAGAGAAAGAGAGAGAGAGATTCAGGGTTTAAATTCAAAAAGAGAGAAAAAGATCTTCTTCGATTTAGCAAAATACGATTTATGCGAACGATCGCGATCGAGATATGGGGGACCCAACGTGGTCCCCCCATGAGTTCCCGTGGAGAACGAAGTCTTCTTCTCGACTACTATACTCTCTTCTTCTTCTTCTTCTTCCTCTTCCTTTTCATCCTTTACATCCTTCTTTTGGAATTCCTATAAGAGAGTCGGACGAATAAGAAGGTCGCGCCTGCTCTTTTTCGCTTTTAACGTAAAACGTTTAAAGATCGTAATGATAACAAGAGATAATTTTTCTTTCTTTTTATAAATATATATGTATATGTATATGTATATATATAGTTTCCTTTTTTATCGATCGGGTTTAACTTGAATAAAGTTTTTTGAATCCTTGCAATAGTGATAGAGAAAAAAGGATACATTTATAGAATAAAAGATAAAAAGAAATTTTAATTTTTTTTACTGCATATAAAATAAGTTTTATTAAATTTAAACAATGTTGCACTATCCCAAATATCCCAAACAATACAATAAACACACATGAACTTTTGGTGAATCAAAGTTTGGTTTGTTATTAATATTCCACATGCATATAAAATAATTTTAAATTAATTTCAAAAAGAAAATTTCACTATTTGAAACAACACAATAGACACATATTTCACATGCATATAAAATAATTTTTATTAACTTCAAACAATGTTGCACTATCCCAAATATCCCAAACAATACAATMAACATCCATGAACCTTTGATGAATCAAAGTTTATTTTATTATGAATATTTTACATGCATACAAAGTAATTTTTATTAACTTCAAACAATGTTGCACTATCCCAAACAACAAAATAAACAACACATAAACAAACAACACAATAAATATCATGAACCTTTGGTAAATCAAAGTTCTATTTTATTATTAATATTTTACATGCATATATAAAGAGTAATTTTTATTAACTTCAACCAATACTGCACTATTTGAAACAACACAATAAATACACAAACCTTTGGTTCACCCTTATACACACATGAAAATGACCTAAGTCCACTTATTTGTTTTTCCTTGCTACAAAATATTGTTTATGACAACTGACCACCAGGTGGTACATGTAGTTAACATGACAGACAACTGACAAACATACTCAAATTACTTTCAAAATAAAAGGTTTCATAGAGTTATATGATATAGAGGAAGAGTGGGGGAAACAGGGTATACAAAATTAAGGATCTTTTCTCATGTTGAGTTTCATCTTATGGGTTCTATTCTTTAAATATTTTGTTTTTTTGTGTGTCAATAAACTTGAAAGTATGATACTTTACATTTTCATGAGCTATCACAAATTCCACAAAAAAACATTGCTCATATTTTATATACACATATATATTTATGTATATATGTATATAGGTATGTATAACTGGTTCTAACATTTTAGATTTTAAATGGATCGTTATTTTCTCAGTTGTTGGTACAATGAACGGTTCGGTTGGTTGTTCTCGCGCGTGCGAGACCCATTAGATCCCTTTAATGAGCCGTGAAATGGTAGCTCGGCCATATCGCCACGCGTAACCGTACAATCCGTTTATGTTACTTTGTGTACATGACTATATATATATATACATAAATGTGTTGGTGTGTGGGTATTTTTGTGTCGTACCTCGATATACTGCAATATTGAAGATTTATTTGGAAATTTTTTTTTTAAATGGATCGATCCCATTTTTTTATTTTCATTTTTTTTTATTTCATTCAATTTGCATTTTACTCATTTCATTTTATTTATGTATAAATGTGATTTATTATAATAATATTTAATTTAAATTTTTTATTTAATTTATTTTCTATATTTATATTTTATTTTTAATCATTTTTAGGTGTATAATATTATAATTGTTTTTAATTATTAAAAAGGTAGGGAGAATAATTGTAAAATTTTCTTCCTGGAATGATCGATAGAGTTTTTTTTTTATTCTATTTTTTATTTATTTACTTATTTATTTATTAATTTTCAAATTAAACCTATAAATTTGATTTATTAATATTTAATTTTTATTCGTTATTAATTTATTTTTTTTATAATTCTATTTTATTTTAATTATTTTTGTTTTCAGAGTGGTGGCCATGGTGGTTACTACTGCCAGGATGTTTTGCATCTTGGACAAAGTATGTCGAGGAATACGACTCGATCAGAGTTGCAAGATGCGATGCACGTTGCGGGGATAATCATCCGGACGAGGTAAACATTTAATCTCACATTCGAAAATATAAAACAAACAAACAAAAACAATAATTAACATTTATAATTCTCCCTAAACGATTTATTTGATTCTTCTATCAATTGTGGATAGAAAAAAATGATTAACAAAAAAAAAAAGTATTTCAATATCAATGTTAGAGTTTAATTAGAAGTATGTTTCTTTATTGTATTACAAATTGTATTTATAAACTGCCATACTTGAATTATTATTGCAAAATTTATTCTCAAAAATGTTAATTTGAAAAAAAAAAAAGAAATAAAAAGCACACACGAATGTTTAGTTTATCTCAATCAAAAAAAAAAAAAAAAAGAAAAAAAAACTAAGATATGGTTAACATAAAATAACGATTAGGTAAAAAAATTTCTGTATAAAATTTTGTATTACTGAAGTTGAAACACTATTTGAAATTTATATCGTGATAAAATCACCTAACCAGTCTCTGGTTATTCTCTTTCTCTTTCTCTTTCTTTCCGTATGTACATACGTACATATGTGTATATGTGTATGTATGTATGATTGTATATACAAACGAACATAGTAGTTGGTTAAACTCAAGCCAGAAGCAAAGGAGAAGTATTAAGCATGAATCATTCGGCGTTCGGAGTATCTTCTTCTTCTTCTTCTTCTTCTTCTTTGTGCACTTTAGGTCCGCGTCTAATTAATTATGCGTGTGTCCCTGAATCCCGCGCGTCCACTTGAATCATCGTCACGCTCGAGGATTTATGGTATCTCGTTTGCTCGCTCTCGCTCTCGGCATTTGTTGCAATGCTTTTCGAGTTGGAACTTCGAAAATGCTAATCGTACTTAACCGATCCTTTACCAAGGATTTCGAGGACAATTTTGTCCAATGGAAAAAAACACAATTCTCTTTGGATTATCACAAACAAACCAAAAATAACGAATTATACAGCTTAAGTGTATCAAAAGGTGTTCAATTTATATTTTCTATTAAATTAGTGCCAATTATTAAGTAAATAATATGCCTTTTCTAACTACGAATAGAGTTAGGTCACTTTCAAAATAAGCGACCTATATGTACTAATTTTTTTTTCAAATTTAATAATAAGATAAAAATTTACGAATTATAGTTTGCTAGTATTAATACAATTATATATATATATCTTTGATATTTTGACTTACGATTAGTTCAATCCAATAAGTTATTGACACGAAGTTTTATTGCTAATTCTTTCTATATATATATATATATCTATCTGTTTCTTTTTTCCCCCTTCGGGTGCATAACGTTTGCAATGATTCAGGCCATCGGTAGTATAGTAGTATAAAGGACCATGACGAAGGTGGAGAAGATAGCCCTGGGAGCTTTGACTGGCGGGTGGCAATAAAGTCTCCAAAGTAATAGCCTATAAAAGCTTACACCAGTAACGCGTTACGCGAGTTCCAATGCTATCCAGACTATTCCTTTTACTCTCATCTTTTCCTTCTTTTTTTTCCTTTCTTTTCTTGTCTTTTTTTCTTATTTCTTTTTCTTTCTCTCTATAAGCGAACTAGAAACGTATCTTCCATTATCGAGAAAACAGGTTCTTCTTATCCGTAGTATTTCTATCGATGATCAATCTTTTGCGATGACATTAAATCTAACACCGTTTGCTCTTTGGAAAACTCACGAAATGTCTGTAAAAGATCAACTAATACGTTATGGTGTATTAGTAATAGATAGTCATTAGGTAAAAGTACATGTGTATGTAGTATCTTTACTAAGTACAGTGTAATCTTACATATACCATGTTAATATTGAATGGCTTTTTTTTGAGCACCTTGTATGTAACTTGTGTTTAATAACTAATAACTATTTTAATATTTAAGAAGGAGTGCATTAAGGTATTAAAATAATTGTTAATTATCGATGCAAAGGTCAATTGCTGTTAAAAAGCAAGGATTACATGTTTTATGAAGGTTCCCATTTGAAATTCACCTTTAGACTGACACGTTGTCTTCTATGAAAATTCTTTTGCTAAATGTTGTTTCTATGATTTTAAAATAATTGTGCATGTGTATGAAGAGAATAAGGAAACTAATAAATAGAAATTAGGATTATAACTGTTTGATTATAGTATTTTTACACGTGTGCAATGTTTGGAAAGTCATATAAGTAATATTGAATAAAAGAATTTTGATAGTTGACAACGTGTCAGTCTGAAGGTGAATCTCGTAGAGGAAGGTACATTGATCATGTATTTTGAGCTTATAGGAGACAATAGACACTCATATCAGTTATTTAAAAATTATATTATTATTCTAATACACTGCACTTACATTACATGACAATGTAAAATTAGAAGTCATTACTGTACAGAAGCTATAAATTAATTACAATAGAATGAAAAAAATGAAATATTCTCAACGTTATAATCTTGAATTTAATTTATTAGGAATGATATTAAGGTTGTATACATGTCCAACATTTAGAAAGTCATATAAACAACATTGAATAAAAGAAACTTGCATAGATGACAACATGTCAGTCTGAAGATGAATCTCGAAAGGGAAGGTTCATAGAACGTGTATTCCGTGCTTTTAACAATAATAGATCATCAGATTGATTAATTAACAATTATTTTAGTATTCTAATACACTTTACTTATATTACAACAAAATTATAACCTCAAAGTCTTCATTGCAGACAAACGATAAAATAATTACATTAGAATACAAAAAATATTAAAATCTGATCATTATAATGTTAAATTCTATTAATTAGGTAAATTATTACCGTTGCACACATACGCAACGTTCGGAAAGTCATATTAACAACATTGAATAGAAGAACATTCACCTTCAGACTATCTGGCAGTCTGAAGATGAATTTCGAAGAGGACGGTACTCCGATCATATAATTCGAGTTATTAAACATCAATACACATTTATATCGATTAATTAACAATTATTTAAATATTCTAATACACTCTATTTATATTAGAACAGTAATATACACTAATTATACACAGGGTGTTCCAATAAAACCATTCAATATTTATATAGTATAAATGATACACTTTACTGAATAAAAAAGTTTTAGTAACCATATATGAAATATTCATACGTTTTTAAGATCTCCAAATTTGTGTTTCGTTATTAAATATTATTTTAATAAAATTTATTAGTTGAATAAAATAAATATTAATATTAATTAAGTTGAAAACAATCATCGATGAATATTTAATTCAAATTGATACGATCGTTCAGTACATTGAACTTATTTATTATTTAAAGATACAATGTTGCAACGAATATAATAAATTGATCGAAGTTAATCTTCCGTAAAAGATCCATCGATCTTGCGGTTGCAAATGTATTTAGTTGAAATTTTTCTTTTGTTACAATATCGATTGAATATCGATAAAATCTTGAAGGGTTGCTCTTCCAATGTTGCAAAGCCACATAATATACATACATACATACATACATACATATATATGCATGTATATGTATATATTCTTATACGTAAGTATAATCGTTAAATTAAATTTACATTCATATATATACTTTGCATGTATGCACTTCACTTCAATCTATCACGAGCATGCGTCAAAATCGGACTTCATTTCTTAGCGCGTTGAATTATGAAGATCCCTGGATGAGTTTGTATGTGTGGCAATGTAAGAAATGAACTTCGCAAAAGTTTATGGTTGGTCGCTGTCGGAATTGGAAAACGTGTTTGCTTCTTCTCTCAAAGACATACTTCAAAGTAGCAAGGTTAACGTATGGACGTTGTTGGGTCTCGATTGCTTCGTCATTCTTTAAAAAGATAAAATGTTTCTCATCTGTTTTTTTTTCTCTCTCTTTCAATATATATATATATATATATATATATATACACTTCATTGTGTTATAATCTTCTTTAGTTTTGTTCGTTTCGTTACGTTTTATTGAACATTTTCGTTATACCTTGACTTCAATTTCAATATAAATTTGAATGGATATATTTGTTCGATGTAATGCGCTATTTGCTTCAAGAAAAGAATCCGTTAAACGAAATCGTTCTTTTCTTTCGCGATATTGTTGCAAGTAAAAAAAAAAAAAAAAAAAAAGAAAGAAGATAAACGATAACCGATGATCGAAGATTGCTCATCTCTCAATCAAAAGTTGCTGTGCAACTTTATGGCTACTATAAGGCTACCTTTAATATCTTCTTTCCTTTTGATATTGCATCGGGAGAAGTTATGTTGACCTCTTCTCAATATAGAAAGGGAGAAGCGAAGTAAAGGAAAAGAAAAAAAAATAGTTGGAGAGAGTGAGAGAAAGAGGGAGAGAGAAAAAAAGAGAACGAGAAAGAGCAAAAAAAAAGAAGAAAAAAAGAAAGGGACGGTTACTTCTTCGCTTGAAAGTTATTCATTTCCGCGACAGGTAAAAAATTGACCCGGCATGAATCACCATACAATTTCGTTAACAATGTTGCTTGGGGGCCAACGAGGGCGGTCCAAAAGTTTCTCGGACACAAACTTCATTAATTTACCCTCTTGGAAATTACAGACTATCTTCGCGCGACGAATCCTTTTATAAATTGTGCGAGTGAGAGAAAGAGAGATAGAAAGAAAGAAAGAAAGAGAGAGAGATAGAGAGAGAGAGAGAGAAAATAAAATAAAAGAAAAGAAAAGAAAAAAAAAGAAAAAAAAAGGAAAGAAACCCCCGGTAAGAAAAATCGAATACGAAAAGATAAAAAGGTGAGGCCAAAGAGAGAGAAAGAGAGATAGTGTGAGAGAGAGTGTGAGAGAGAGAGTGAGAGAGAGAGAGATTGAGATTTCTGCCGATCTGCCTCGTTAATGGCGCCACGATTGGACGTCATCGAGACACAAATGGAACGGTGATAAAAGCTTCTTCTTCTACTTCTACTTCTTCTTCTTCTTCTTCTTCTTTTACTTTTACTTTTTCTTTTCAACCCGATCGTGATTATGAATTGATGCAGAAGATGATGAAAGAAAAAAAGGAATACCCATCCTTCCCAAAAAAAAACACATACACACAGGGAAATAAAACGAAGTAGAAGAAGATAATGAAAAAAAAGAATGGCAAAAAAAAGACATTGAGGTTAGGTGAATATGGAAGAAGTTGAAATTAAGTGGGGCTGAGGGGTTGGGGAACGAAAATAAAATATAATAAAAAGAGGAAAGGGTCAGAGTCACTTCAAACAAAGTTGCACAAACGAGATATTCTCGAAAGAACGAAACGAGAAATTTATTTTTATAATTCAAGTTACAAATTCGTGTGTGGGAAAGGGATTAAAGTTTTCAGTTTAGTTTAATATAGGGTGCGTTGTAGTCGGCGCGGTAAACCCTTTTGCAAGTCGACTTCGTTAACTTCGTTCCTTTTTTCCCTTTTTTTTCTTTTTCTTTTGCTTCTTCTTCCTTGTAGTTCTCTTCCTCGTAGTTACTCTTCTTCTTCTTCTTCTTCTTCTTCTTACTCATCATCATCTTCTTCTTCTTCTTCTTTGCTTCTCTTTCCCATTCCCATCACCACCATATCTTCTTCTTTCCTTTCCTTTTCTTTTTTTTTTTCTTTTATATTCCTCTCGAGAAATCGAAGGTCGTGAACCATCGTGTGCCTCTTTTTTCAACATAATGCAAGACCATGCTGATGCTTGAATTTTATATTTCTTATTATCTTTTTTTTTTTTTTTTACGTTTGCTTCAATCGATTTTGTCGTGATAGTCCGATTCTCCCTTCAAATATTTCGTATAATTTTGGGTTCCTTTTTTTTTATTTATTTGTTCCTTGCTTCGTTTCGGTTTGATACTTTTTAATCAAAGTCATCAATGCTACCTTGTTTTTGGATTATAGTCCTTTATTACGTACATGTTTAACAGTCGACCAACGTGGTTGTTTCGAACTGTTAAGATGAGAAGAAGAAGATGATTATACAAATGATACTCACTCAAGATTATTTTTCTACAACAACTTTAAATGTTAATAAAAGTAACTCATGTGTTTTCCACTTGACTGTGTCCCCCTTTCCTTCCCTTTTTATGCTGCTCAATCTTAACACGACTGAAAATGCAACTTTGTTCGATGGGACGAAGATACTGCAACTCGTTGTAAGCGTCAAGAAGTAAACGTGTTTGATAAAGATAATGAATTATTTTCCACTAAGAGATTGATTAACGTTTAACTTCCTGTATTTAAACTGGAGTCCAATAAACATTCTTTGGTCTTATATTTTTAATTGAGTGTCCTAATTTCTGATAAAAATTCGAAATTATCAAGTAGAGATAGTAGATCAAAAAATTTAAATGATATTAGTGGAGTAGTGAAAGTATATAGGTAAAACAACAATGTTGATCATGCAGAGTATCTTGTAGTATTTTTATAGCAAACTTCATTAACAGGTTTGAAATATCTACTTTTATATGAAACATCATTAACAAGTTTGAAATATCAAATAGAAAAAGGAGATAAAAGAAATAGAATAAATTAGTAGAGTAGTGAAAGTACAAGTTCAAACAATAATGTTGATTAGACAGTATTTTTAGTATCTTCATAGCAAACTTCATTAACAAGTTTGAATTATAATATTAAGTAGAGACAGCAGATGTTACGATAGAATAAGAAAAAGAAAAAAGAAAAAATAGACAATATTAGTAGAGTAATGAAATTATAAAATTAAGACAACAATGTTGCTCACACAGTACTCTTAGTATCTTCATAGCAAACTTCATGAACTAATTTGGATTATCAAGTAGAAATAGCAGTTGTTACTATAAAAGAAGAAGAAAAAATAAAAGATATTAATAAAATAGTGAAAGTATAATATTCAGATAACAATGTTGATCAGACAGTACTCTCAGTATTTTCACAGAGAACTTCATTAACTAGTTTGAATTATCAAATAGTAATACCAAACTTTCCTAGAGAATAAGACAAACTGAATAAAAGATATTAGTAAGGTAGTGAAAATGTAATGTTCTGACAGCAATGTTGATCAAACAATACTCTTAATATCTTCATTACAAACTTCATTAACAAATACGAGTTTTCAAAGAGAAATATCAGACGTTGTTACAGAATAAGACAAGAAATAATAACAAATATTAGTAGGGTAGTGAAAGTACAATGTTCAGATAACAATGTTGACCAGACAATACTCTTAATACCATCATTACAAATTTCATTAAGAAATTTGAGTTATTTACTAGAAATATGAGATGTTACTACAGAATAAGGTACAAAAATAAAAGACATTACTAAAGTAGTGAAAGTATAATGTTCAGATAACAATGTTGATCAAACATTACTCTTAGTATCTTCATAGCAAACTTCATTAGCTGGTCAATGGCCCCCAGGGCGATCACCGATGTCGAGTGTACCATTCGTTCTCTTTCTTTCTCTCTCTCTCTCTCTCTTTCTCTCTTTACATTGCTCGTAAAAAGTAGGCCAATAAGTAAGCGAACCAGTTTCTTCGACCGTTCGAATGATATATGCCTCTTCTGCGACAGCCAGGACAGTCCGAGCGAATAACCTGGGTTGTTCGTGAACTACTAACGCTTAAAACGTTCCAGGATTTCCTTCATTGAACCTTTATCTAGATAAAGGAACAGATAAAAGGAGAATGAGATGAATAAAATAAGGGATTGGGTAGTAGTTGGAAGAACAGTGGGAGGAGTGAATTCGTAAAACGATATATTTCTTTCTCTTTTTTTGTTTTTCCTTTTCTTTCTTTCTTTCCTTTCTCTTTATCTTTATCCTTCTTTATCTTATTTTTTTTCTAAACAAAGACTTACGTATTATCTAACATAAATCTTATCCCAGGTTCAACATGGAACCATTCCAAGTAATTGATCGTAAAAAGGAGAAAACAAAAGCTAGTTAAAAAATTAAAGAGTTACATTTTATTTTTACCCCCGTTTGTTTTTGCAATTATATTATAATTTAATATATCTTTATGCATATGTGTGTGTGTGTGTTAAGAAATTTAATAATTGTTATCTTAGCGTGTGTTCGAGAAATATTAAAATAAAAAATAAAATAATGATTAATTGTTTTATAAAACATTAGAGATATTTAACTAAAGGTTTTTGTTGTTGTTATAATATTGTTAAAGGAATTTAATAAAGCTGTGTGTGTGTGTGTTTGTTTGGTAAGTTCTTTGAAAAAAAGAAAAAAATAATATATTAACGTGGACGAAGTCGAAGATTACGTTTTGGTTTTTGTTTTTTAAATGATATTATCCCTTTGAAGTCAAAAATTAACAGAAGAGAGAGTGAGAGAGAGACACGCAGTATTTTTAATTAAAAATCCAAATCAAAATTATACAGGGAGTACGAAAGATGATGATTGGACACGCGAATAGGAGGTATGAATATTTTTTTGGATTTCTTCTTCATCCCCCAAGCTCCTTTCTGCTTACTTTTTAAACTCTTGATTTCGGACAGTAAAGTATCTTTATATTAAGATAAGAATGTTAAAATAAGAAAAATCCTTATTTTCAAGTGTATCGCATTACAAAGTAACTCGTAAGATAATAATCTTCGTTTCGAAAACGATCTTTGGTTTGAGAGTTCTCATTTTAGTTTGGTCGTTTCGGGACATCCAAATCGGTTTCACGCGGGGACTCATGGAACGATCAAAAAAGTGGAAGGACGAACGATAACCTACAGAACGATCTTCCGGAATATGTTAACTGTGGAGAATCATTTTCTTTTTTATTTTATTTTTTTATTTCTTTCTTACTGAGAGAAAATGTTCAACCTTAAGAAGACCCGTAATGTCTTCTTTTATCTCTCATGCATTTCAACTTGATCTTTTCAAAATTGTATTTAAAAAAAAGAAAAAACTAAAAATATATTGTAAATTAAATAAAATAATTATATTATATATATAAATGTAATTTAGAATAAAATATTGTTATTTTTTGTATTTTTTGTTTTTGTTTCAGTGTATGGAAAATTGTTTATCATCAAATTACACGAAACCTGGTTACTGTCCTGAAAGTGCTTTCATGTCACCCTTCGAAGCTGTTTGTTTGATTGCTTGTGACAGTGATTCACGTTGTCCTGATTTAACAAAATGTTGTTCACATGATTGTGGTGTCACCTGTATGCATCCTGTCGGTTTGGATAATATAACAGGTAAATTAATATAATGTCAATTTATTTTTATTTTTTATTAACACATATATAATAATTATTATGACATTTATTTTTATATTTAAAATATAATTATATATTAAAATATTAAATTTGGTGGTAATTAAAATTAATTGTCAATGAACAATTGCAAGTAAACAATTGCAAATGAACAGTTGCAAGTGAACAATTATAAATGAACAGTTGCAAGTGAACAATTGCAAATGATTGAAATTAATTTGATATATTTTGTATTTTTCAGATTTACCACCAATTCCACAAAATCTTCAGATAAGACAACAAAAGAGTAATCTAATACATTTGACATGGCGAAATATTGGACAAGTTTATCCCAACTTGTCTGTTAATAATGACGTCAGATATTTAGTAGAGGAACGTCATCTACTCGGACCACGTTATTTAGAATCAAGATTGAGTTCTTGGACGGTTCGGCACGTTTCTACGAAACCTCACGCTACTCTACGTGGTAGATTAAAAACCGGTCATTGGTATCAATTTCGCGTTGCTGCTATCAATGGGAATGGTTCTAAAGGTTATTCTCAACCCTCCAGACCTTTCAAGACGAAAGGTAATTCCTATTAATTTATTTATTATTTATTTATTTGATTATCTTTGTTCTTGTTTGATTCTTCATTTAAACAAAAAAACAAAAAAAAAAATAAAATGAAGATGACATTTTTATCAAAGATTCCTAATTCGGAATTATTGTATTTACAATTGAATTAATTATACTTAATGTAAATTTATTTATTTAATTTTTTATTTTTGTTTTTTTTTGGTTGTTTATTTGTTTATTTAAATAAAAAAAATAAAATAAAACAATGATGACATTTTTATCCAAAATTCGTAATTCGAAATTTCAGTTGAATTAACTAAACTTAATTTAAATTTATTTATTTATTTATTTAAGAGTTTTGTTTTGTTATTTGTTTGTTTAGTTAAATAAATAAAAAGAAAACTGTGATGAGATTTTTTATTAAAAATTCTTTATTTGGAATTTCAATTGACTATACTTTAATGTATAGTTGTTATATTTATCATTTATTCGATTTCTTATTTGACTTCATTTACAATCGATTTCGGTAAAGTAGCTTGTGCAACTTCATCAAAATGAAAGAAGAGAAAATTTTTTTTTGACCCTTCTGACCCTTTCTGCTTATTTCAAAACCGGTTTATTATTTCAACTTTAAAAAGAGTAGACACATGGAGTAAGCTTGATTGATAATCTGAAAAAGAATATATCAAAATTCAGTGCAACATTGTTGATTTCCAATGAAGACTTCTTAATGACGTTTTTTTTATTTAGCATGATTCTTTTTTTTTTTTTAATGACGATTATTTCTTATTTTGTATTACTAATTTAAGAATTTAAAATTCAGAGGTTATCTTGGTTTTTTAATCGTAAGTTTTCAATAGATGGCGTTGTATTACAATTCAATTATTTCGATATATTCAAGCTGTGCATTATTTTTAGGTTATTTCAATCTTTAGGTACTGTAAGTTTTCAATTGATGGCACTGTATTACAATTCAATTATTTCACGTTTTTTCAGATTTACATATGACAGTTCTAACCTTACTTTTTCTATTTTTTTGTAGTGTTATCATTTTATATATTTCCAGAAATTGTTAGTGAATATTAATTTGACAGCAATAAATAATTTAGAATTATATTAAATCAACATTTTATAACAAAACCACAGCAACACGTTGCCAGAACACATCCTAATATATATATATATTTATTTATTTGTTTACCTGTACGAATGAAGGTAAAGTTAAATCGACACTTTCACAATAAGCCAATTGACACTTCATTTTATTCGTAAACATGATTACTTTGAAATTTTCTTTAACCGATAATTCACATGAATACCATCCTTCGTGAAACGCATCTTCTGCTACTTTTGAACCCTAAAAATAATAAGAAGAAATATTTTGAAATAATCAAATTTATTATAAGAATTGTTTATATTCGACTTACAGCTTCGAAAAGGTCCTGTATATAAAAACAAATCATATATAATTGTAATACAGCAACACACGTGTGTGATATTACCAAACATCCTTGCATGTTAACAGTCACGTTCTAAAAAAAAATACAAAATTACAAATATTATTTATAATAATTAATTTCAATATTATGTTATATTTCATAATTTGTGTTAAAAGTTTTGATTAATCATTTAATTCAGATTAATTAATTTAATAGTAATATATTTTTGTTAATGCTACTTTAATATTTAATTAATTAATTAAATATTAAAGTTGATTGAATAATTGAAATTTTGTTTATTGGAATATTGGTTTCATTTGAAATCTCGTTTTTTTACAAACCAAAAATTCAATCTTATATCAAAAATAAACAAATGTGATTTACCTCAACTAGCATGTAACTTAAAAAACAAAATCTCAACACACTGTCCAAGTGTACGATAAAAACGTTGAACGATAATATTTTTTTCAGCATATTAGTTGCCCTATGAAAAAAAAGAAAACAAACAAATATTCTTATAACCTCAAGTTCATCATTCTTCAAAATATTATTCAATGAAATAAAAAAAAAAAAAATAAATAAATTTTGAATTACCTTACAACGATTGTATGATGATGCAACAATGTGTTCAATTCTTTCTTAACGTTCTCATATTTAACATAATTATTATCATTATGAAATATCATACCCATTTTAATTCTCAAATATTTGTATTGCGAAGTGAGTAATAATATCAAATGCAAAGTATACACATCGGTGCTAACTTTTTTCATGATACACAAACCAGCACCAACAATTTCAAGTATAACACTGTAGATAAAAATATTACGTGAAATTGGTTCATCGGTTATACTAATTGGTAAAACATAATCCTCATGTATGAATTGTTTTTTTTGATAAATTGTTATCAATGGTGTTGAAACCCATAAAACAACGGTACACACTTCAATCATTGTATACAATTTCAACATTTTTTCTACAGGTCTTATGTAAGATACAACCGTATTTTTGAATAATTCATTGTCCAATGATAATAAATAATCGTAATAATTGATTAATCGTTTCAATAAATATCTTTGACGATACATGTGTGATAAATTGAACAATGTTTCAGCACATATTATCAAATTAACCGTACTATTTCTCAACGCTGATTCCATTGACACTCGAAATATTCCAACGATTGAAACACAAATGTGTATCAATATTATTATCCAAGTAAATATTGAATATAATATTGATAACAATGATAATTCCGATTGGTTAGAATTAATGGGTAAAATATTTCCCGAAAGTATATTAATTAATACGTTCCATCGATTGGTATTACGAAAATTGATATTATTCATTGTATGATTTAAAAACAATGTTGAAATGTTTCAATATTATTTCAATATGAATTTGTACGTTCGTATAAGAACATTTCTAAATCTAAACTCGACTAATATTAATTTATTCTGTTTTTTTTTTTATCTTCTTCTTCTTTTTTTTTTTTGCATAAACTTGTGAAGAATGTGTGTGAGTGTTGGTATCATAATTTATTAATTTAAATCGATATATGTGTTGAAATATGCACGTTCAAATGATCGACAATTATCTTCAAACGTTTCTCGGAACGTTTAATTATTAATAAATCAAAAAAAAAATTCAAAGAAGAAAAAGAAAAGGAAATTAAATAATGAAAATAATAATTTGTGATATAAAAAAAGAAAAAGAAAAAATTATATTTTAATCAATTCGTATGTCTTTTAATCATCTTAACTTTACTCGATTATTACAGAATATTTTATTCAATGAAACTTGAAAGGTATAATTCTACTTCCTTTGATTTTATTATTATTATTATTATTATTATAATTATTATTATATATAAAAATCGATAGCACAGGTTAAAGACCCGTGTGTTGTGTATTGTAAAAAAAAAAAAAAAAAAAGGAAACTTCTTTGAAATATTTTCTTACTTTCAGAACCACGGAATCCAAAAGAACCACAGAACCTAACCCTGTCAGGTGCACGTTTGGTGGGTGGCAAGTTAAGAATCAACCTTCGATGGATTAAACCAACATCGGATGTTCCTATAACATTTTACAAAGTCTTTTGGAGTAGACGAATTCATAGTCCAACCAATGATTCTGTATTGGTTTTTCATAGGACTGTTAGAAAGGTATTAACATAGTTGCATAATTGCATACTTTGTTCTTTTTTGCTTTTTGTTTTCTTTTTTATAGAAATTTTTTATTCGAAAATATTCATATATCAAAATAATAGTTTGTTTTAATTAAATTTTTTATTGCTAAAATTTGTACAATTAAAATATCTTCACAATTGCATTGCACAATTGTATTTTGTACAATTTTTTTCTAATTTATTTATATATAATTGTTTAATTTAATATTGGAAATTGCAAGCTTTGATTTGCTTTTATATTTTTCTTTTTTTTTTTTATTAGTTTTTATTCAAAAATATTCACGAATTAAAATAATAGTTGGTTCGAGTTAAATTTCTATTGAAAATTGTTGCAATTGAAATATTTTAACAATTGTATTACATTTTGTGTACAAATTTTTTGCACAATATTTTTTTCCAATTTATTTCTATATAATTTGTTTAATTTAATATTGAAAATTGCATATATATTTTTACCTTTGCTCGAATTCGAAAACTTTTGTCACAACAGGATAAAACTTGTTACGAGTTGAAGAACTTAGAACCAAAGTGCCAATACTTTCTTCAAGTTCAAGCAGTCGCTTTGTATGGTGGTAGACGTTTGGCATCCAGAAAAGCTTCGAAAGTTTTCAACGCTACGGATTATATGGCTTTTGGTAAGAATTTTCTATATTTTATTTTCCGAAAAGAAAAATATATTTCGTGTAGACGATTTTTTTTTTTATTTTTCATTTTATTTTCTCCCTCATTTATTTTTCTTGTATTTTTTATTTTTTTCTTTTTTCCTTCTTCGTTCTACTTTTTCGTTTAACTTTGTTTCTTCCTTTTTCTTTTTAATTCATTTTTATTATTAAAAAAATTAAACGTTAAGTTAAACGTAAAACGTAAATGAGTAAGAAAAAAAAACAAGAAACATGTTGAAAATAAATCATGAAAGAAATGCGAACTTTCAATTGAAGCCGACGTCGGGAGACGTTCTCGCAGGTGCGAAAGGTATCAAGGAGGTCTTCACGTAAGAAAAATGATTTGTCATTGCGGTGATGTTAAGGTACGTTTGGTATGGCCGATGAATCAAGATGCAAAAATGTATAACGTCAGTTGGAAAGAAGAATCATGTTCGTCGATTTACGACGATACATTTGAAACCAAAAAAAAATTACTATGGAAAGCTATTCAGGTAATACACATTATATTTACTCAAATTTTATTCATTTGCATATATATATAATATAACAATATATTAACTATTTAACAATTTACTAACAATTTATTAACAATAATTTCTTTAAATAAATTAATTATAAAATAATGTTTATATAATTAATTAAAGGTTAGAGAGATGATACTCGTGTTTAATATTTGTAAATAATATTTTATTTATATTATTTATTAATATTTATAATTATTTATAATTTAAATTTTAAAATACGAATTGATTTGAATCACTTTTGTATCATTTATCAATAATTTTATTTCTTATCTATATATTAAATATATTTTATATTTTAATATAAATCACAAATAATTAAAAGTAATTGAACAAACAATTTATTAACAATAATTTCTTTAAATTAATTAATTAAAATAATATTTATTTAATCAATAATAGGTTAAACTATAATATTTAAACATTTAAAAAAAATAATTTAATTATATTATTTTTATTAATATTTATATAATTATGTATAATTAAAATTTTAAAATACAAATTGATCTGTAAATCACTTCTAACATTTATCAATAATTTTATTTATTTCTTTTATAAATATCAATGACTGTATTAAATTAATAACTTTATTGATTTAACAAATAACTAAAAGTAAATTTTCTTATTATTTTTATATATTCGTTTTGTCTTATCGATAATCAAAAATAAAATGATATTTATATTTGTACATGAAACAGATATACGTCTGACTATATATTTGCTTTAACTACTTACAGTCACATATCTATATATATATATATACATACATCTATATACATCTGTATATATGTATATATATTGACGTTTAATCAATTATGTAAAAACACGAATACGTTTAATTCAATTATCAAAACTATTTTGATTTCACAGACTCCTCACTATGATCTACGTCATCTTAAACAAGATTGCACTTACACCGTAAACGTAAAAAATTTATACAACACTAATAAAATAGACGAGCATGGTACAAGCATAGAATTTTTTGCAACTGGATGTCAACAGGATCGTGATGAAAAAAGATGGAAATATTCAAGTAATAAAGGTGCACAATGTAAAAAAAAATCATCCAAAGGTAAAAAGTATTCTTCCATCGATGACAATGATAACTCAGATTAACAATTTCACAATAACAAATTTTATTAAAATATATATATATATTTTTTTTTTCATGCAGAAAATACATCGTTTTAATTATTAATTATTTTACAATGTTATATAAATATATATATGTGTATTTATAAGTCATATATTTCAATAGTGTTCTAACTTCATTTTTAATTTTTTCAATGAAATGTTTTGGTTTTATTACAATTCATTTTCAATTGTTAATTTTATTATTGGGTTACAACAAAAAATGATATTAAAGTGGATTTAGGATAATTTCAAATTAAATGACTCATATACATACATATATGTATATATTAAATTTGTGAGAGAAAGAGAAAGAGAAAGAAAGTTTAGATGAGTCAGGGAACTACCATAATTCATAATTCATAATTCATAATTCATAATTTTTATATATATTTTTTGTTTGTTTGTTTTTACAATGGTTTCGTACTTAAAATGCATGATTCAGTTGAAAGTGTGTGATAATATATATATATATATATATATACATTGATATTTTTCTTAAGTATAAACAAATTGTTCTTTTTTTTTTATAATTATTATTAAGTTTAGGGATAAATTAAATAAGGTTATAATTAATTTTTTGATTCATCTTCATTTTTTGGTTTTGTTTTTTATTTTTTTCTTAACATTCTTTTTAGTAAAAATTTTTTTTATTACTATTATAATTATTATTATTTACATCGTTGTTTGTTATGGCACTTAATTTTATAGTACAATGTATATCATATGAAATAAGTATATAATTTTAATATAAAATATTCGTCAATAATTTGTAAGATAAAATAGAAAAGAAAAAAAAGAAAGATTAAAAAAAAAAAAGAAAAAAAAAAAAACAATATTTTCTTATCAGATAATAATAATAATAATTAATAATAATAAGCGCATAGATGGTGAATATTTTTTTATACGCGACGATATTATTATATATAGTAATATTATCTTTTTATACATATAATATATATATATATAGATATATAAAAGAAAAAGGTAAAATGGCACGTTTAATATAAGTAATATATTTTTTTGTCAAATGTTTGTTTGTTCTTTTTAAATGTTAAGTAATATAAAATATATATTATTAAATATATTTCTCTAATGTTGTTTTTTTTTTTTTTTTTTATATTATACAAAACATATTATCATTATTTGGCACTTTATTATTATTTTGGCACATGACGATTATCTTTGGTTAATATTAATAATTATTACGTTAACAAGCTCCCTTATCCCTTACACACATAAGTAAAAAATAAAATAAACAAATGCACAATTTTTTTGGTGAACAATAAAATACAATAATAAAATATTACCAAAAATAAAAATAATATTTATAATGAAAAAAAATGACCTAATCCCTGAAAAAAATCTTGTGGCTTATGCATTTTGCATTTTATAAAAATAAAAAAAAATAAAAAAAGACAGCAAAAAATAATTATATATCTGTCTTTCTCTCTTTTTTCATACTTACAGGGCATTTTAATAATCCGTCGATATAAATCGTTGGAATTGGAATAAAGTTATGATAATTTGATGAAGAAAATGTAATAAATTACTACAAATAGGTATATGGAGAAATTATTTTTCACAGCGGACGAACATCCTGGAAGATTATAATAAATTGTTCGATTGTTGACACTTTGGGTTGGTCGATAATTAAATTTCAATGTTCCATCGGGTGATTCGATGTTTTGTAAAACTTCCAACTAAATAAATCAAACCAATTTCAATTAATATTAATAACAATAATATTAGTAATGCTAAATATATAAATACTCAATATATATATATATTATTTATTATTATTTTCATTAAATCCTAATTAATATTCGTTTAATATTTTCAATATTCGATTTAATAATAATGATATTAAATATATTATTGTCTTACTTGTTGTTCAGATACCGTAAGTGTATCTTTCATTATGAACCATGTTACTACTTCTTTACAATCAGGTGTAGTTAATGATCCTTTGTATGTGTAATAATTTTGACGATTTTTTGGAAGAAGTAATTCAGGTATTACTTCACCATTTATTCTTACAAAACTAGCACCGACCCATTCTGTTACTGATTTTGCTCCACTTATTATTGGCTCTAATCCTTCGTTATTATTCTCACCCATCTACAATGATTATTATTAATAATAATAAAATGTTTTATTCTTTTTTTTTTTGGTTTCCTATACTCCCCCACCATCATCATCATCAACACCACCACCATTTTTTTATCACTTAACACGTTCGTGGAAAGTTTTCTTTTCAAACTAATTTGTTATAGTTTTAAAATTCAATTAAACAATATTTTTATAATAGTAATTATTAATTAAATATACAAAAAATGTTAATATCATTTAGTGATTACTTTGAAGTAAAATAATAATTAGAAACAAACTTAGGAATTTTAATTTTTATATAAAAATTTAGTGTCATAATGTTTGTCTGTTAATAAATCAGAAATTACAGAACCAATCTTAATGAAATTTTGTTTATTTTGTGTGATTTTCTTCAACCTAGAATATAGCATAATTCTTACCGCGTTTATTTTTTATTTTTTATCGCATATTTTAGAATTTTTTATGTATACCTCATCTATCTCTCTAAGAACTGTAAATTTGCATTAGGTGGTGTATTTTATTTCAAATATTAAAATTTACATACGACCAAATCTTACTTTTTCTATATTTATGTATTATTATTTTCTGTGCTATTATAATGACCTAAATATTTCAGAATAATATAAAATCAATATTTTATAACAGAACTACTGCAAAACGAGGCCACAGTATCCTATATATATACAAAATAAACTAAATAAGGATTTTTAAAGCAAAAACTTCTAAAAAATGCGAGTGATCTGAAAAGAAAATAAACGCGGCCGGTCAGGAAACAGAGCTAGGGAACAGAGTTATAAAACAGCTGCTATACTACATATTAAGAGAAAAAGACACAACCTTTTCGGAAATCCCTACGGACTTTTCGGAAATCCTTACAGACTTTTCGGAAATCCCTACGGATTTTTCGGAAAAAACCTCACTACTTTTCGGAAAAAACGTCACTACTTTTCGGAAGAAACCTCACTACTTTTCGGAAGAAACCTCACTACTTTTCGGAAAAAACCTCACTGCCTTTCGGAAAAAACCTTACTACTTTTAGTAAAGTTACTCCAAAAGTGGGGTTTTTTCCGAAAAGTAGTGAGGTTTTTTCCAAAAAGTAGTGAGGTTTCTTCCGAAAAGTAGAAAGGTTTTTTAGAGAGACCCTACGGACTTATCGAAAAGACCCTACGGACTTATCAAAAGACCCTACGGACTTATCGGAAAGACCCTACGGACTTA